CACCGGATAAATCACTTATCCGGCACTTCGAGCCGAATAACTACCGCTACCTATAAGGTAGCTAATAATATTGGGAAAATCAAATTTGATTTTCCCAATATAATAGTTATTCGGCACTTCGTGCCGAATAACTATTAATTATGCGTGCGTAATTTCTATTTCTGTTGGAAAACAGTGCTCTTGGTTATTTAGTGGTCAATAAAAGGTTTTGAACAATTCTAACTGTCGTTGTTGAACTTCTCATGCCAAGCCACCCTATAAACTCAAGCCAGGTAACGATGATTTCATGGAAAATAGGAATATCGTTTACGGAAAATCCATCAATTTCAATCCGACAGTAACATACAAGATCCAGTTAATCAAGTATGAGTTGCCCAATGAGTTGAGAATATTTTTTAAAAAGCCTAACAAGGAAGTCCTTAAACGACTTAACATTCAGTTGAATGCCAATAATTACATTAAGTTCTTTGAAGAACTACTCTATGCTGAAGAGTGCAACAAAATGGAACAAAGATGACCTAACGAAAATACAACTAGAGCATTGAAACGACCTGGGGAATATTTTGAATTGCAAAAGTCTAAAATGTGCACTCGCGGAGAAGTGCCCATCAGTGCTCCCTGGTGATTATATCCTTGTTGCGAGATGTGGGATAAGAAAGCAGACGTGTACCAAGGGTTCGTGAACGAATCCCTTAAAAGTAACATTGTCTTAAATTTTGATGAGTCATTTTGCAGGATATGTACGAGTTGAAAGCGAGGTTCGATGTCCGATTCACCTTAAAATCGACGCATCAATGAGAAGGATGCATCAAACCGTCAGGAATTCCAAAGTAGACTTTAGTCGTTTATTCCCTCAGAACCATCGAAAATCCTCTGCATATGAATTTGTGTCTCAAGACATCAAATTCTACACTACACTGAATCCTTACCAAAGCCGTGCGGTAGCCATCATCAATCAAATCAGGAAATCATTATCCCTGACCCTTTATTGTCTTTAGTCCGCCAGGAACAAACAGGTTAATAACTTTTCGAATGATTTCAAATATATTTATTTATGATTGCTATTACCGTTACAGGCAAATCTTCCACCATCGTTGAAGCAATGTGACAGCTTCTGGATGATAATCCTATTACCAGGATTCTCGCTCGCACGGTGACAAATGCGGCCACTAATTGGTTGAGTATACGTTAGTCTCACAAAAAATGATTCGAATCAACGTCGTTTCGCAGGAACCTAAAAAAGTCGAACAGGAATTTCATCGCTATTGTGTGATAGACCAAAACGGTAATTACACAAACTTCCGACCGTGAGCTATATTGAGAATCATCAGGTTGTTGTGACTACTTGTATCACCGCGGAAACTGTGTATTTTCTTGGAGAAAAGAAGCTTTACACGCATATTTTTATTGATAAGGTATTTAATTTTTTTACAAAATAGCATATCAATTAGCTTTCTGGTGATATTCGTTATTTTATTACGTAATAGGCAGGACAAGCAATAGAACCGGAAATCGTAACCAGATCACAAAATTATTTTAGCAGGTGAGCCAACGAAATTAGGTCCACTTCCAATCGAAAATAGGCTTTGCCTCGGATAATCTCTGATTGAACGCCTTGAGAAAAGCGAATATTATGGTTTTGTCGATACAAGTATTTACGGGGTTAAACTCCGGATGAACTACCGCTCATACCCTAAAATCCTAAACTTTCCTAGTTCTAAGTTCTATAACAATGATCTTATACCCTCAGCTGACAAAAAATCACTAATAACTTAGGTAACTTTTCTCGCCTCCCTACAAAGAAGTACCCGATCATATTCTGGGGTAGAAAATCAAGAGAGCCAATCCCCATCTCGGTTCAATGCTTACGAGGCCTGTTATGTGTTAGATATTATAGTAAAACTTCGGGAAGAAAACGTCAAATTAGAAGAAATTGGTCACGACCTACGTTAAACAGGTTGAAAAGATCAAGTTATTGATGAAAAAAAGAACATTTCTGGGTGGATATAGGTACAGTGCAGAAATTTCAAGGTCAAGAAGGGCGCGTGATCATTATTTCAGCTGTTCGAACAGAATCTGTTTCATTCCTTGGGGAACCGAGACGGTTCTGCGTTGCTGTTACTCGAACAAAGACTCTTTAGGTGGTATTTGTGAATGGAAAAGCGTTGTCTAAGAATAAACTTTGGAAACAATCGTTGAAAAAAAGTGATGGAATTTTGGATAAAGTTCTTCCTAATAAATAATATTTCGATTAGAGGTACATAAGTGCATCATCACGCATTGAATTTACTTTTAGTTTAATAACATGTCTTTATTATTAATAACCGAGAAGAGTATAATTTTATATCGACAAAACATTTTTTTTCAAACAAATCAAGATTATTGTAGTCATTCGTACTTTCACGTAATTAAAACTAAGGTAATAATTTATTTTATTCCTTTAATCTTTACCCTTTATTAGCGAACTCTCTTATTCGCCTTGTGCAAGTAACAAAATAAAACGAAAATTTTTATCTCCATAACTCATTTATTTTACTAAAAATAAAATTTTCGCTTTATCTTTTTAACCCGTGTACTTAAAAAGAAACGCGAAATTTTAAAAATGATTACATTCTTAATTTTATTTCACAAATTACAATCATAAAATTTTACTAAACGGAAGTAATAATGATCGTACAAGAAAATATTTTTTTTTTCGCATGCACTACTACGCAATTGCGATGCTTAATCATCAACTATCATTTCTGATTTTTCTTTACCCACATCCATCATCATTTCCGATACTTCATCTTCCTCCCTCTCATCCGATACTTCTCCAGCAATAAATCTTGTAAAGTCTCAATATATTCCCATAAACTCCAGAAACAGATCTCCAAACACAATGCCAGTTCTTGTTGTTAAGTCTCTTGAGACTCTTGAGGGAAGCTCGTTAACTTCATGTAAAAACCGCTTTACAGTTATCACTATAAAGCATTCACAACCTTCCGTAGCCTTCTTTAATTCTTTTTTAAAATCTTCCAATGTAAACTCTCCTGTAGGTATTTTATGAACAGGAAAACCTGATTCAATAGCAGAACTAAATTTATACTGCTCTTCTGCATGTGGTTTTAGTGAGTCGGATGATCCACTACGACTACGAACGAACACGATGAAACGGCCTGTTGTGATATCTACATCTTCTACTTTGTCAATTCTAGCATCTGTGATAACAGATACTTTTTTACGTTCAATTAATTTATTCCAAGTGAATGGATTATCGGAATCATGTTTTTTCTTTTTTAAGGGTTCTGATCTATAATTTACATTAGGTTGGATGTCAATTGTCTTGGATAATATTTCATTTGATGCCAAGAGACACCCAAAGTAAATTTCTTTAATGGTCATTTGATGAATTCCAATCAAATCCGCCAATCTGTATGTAATCAGATGCATATGTAACATAAATTTTAGGAAAAATTCTTCATCTAGTCGGAAAAATGAATCTAAGACAATATTATCAAAGAAACCTAACTCTAAGTGTGAGACAAGAGATACAATTAATATAAGAGGGGCTTTAGCTTTATATTCAGTGTAATTAATCTTTTCTAAAAAAATAAGAACCCCGGCTTCATGATCCTCTACAGTACTATCATCCAGAGAAATGTCCTTGGTGATCAGCTTTTGAGTATGGATCCAAAATATAAGCATCAATATGGCCTTTTTACGTTTTTCATCTGTAATGTCTTGTGGATCTTTTCTTCCTCCAACACAATCTAACCAATTATCAATTGTATACTTTTGCTTTGCCCAATCAACAAGAATTCTCTAAATTTCTTTGGCTTGTTCTGCTGAAGCAAAAGGTCTCTTTATTTTCAAAAGCTTTAAAGCATACTGTTCCATAATAACTGCAATTCCTCTAATAGCACCAACTAAGATACAATATAATGGATTATTACATGAAATTGGATTGGTGAATTCATTGGAAGTTTTCATTTTATGATCTATTACAGAATCCATAAAATAAAGAGATTTTTCTATATCCATAGGTGAAATATGTACATCATTGTTACGTTAGTTTTGTAACTTTAAATAAAATCTCAAAAGGGGTAAATAAAACCAAGACAATTACTCAAGGAATCACAGGTAAGAATTTACAATAACATTAAAGAATTATTCTCAATAATAAAACACAAGATATAAACACAAAATAAACACAAAGATAACTCAAAGATATTTCAGAAATTACACTTCAGAGATTCTAAATCAATACAGTGAATCAATACAATATCATATAATAAATTTACTAATAAAAAGAATTGCACAAATGCAAAGGATCACAGATAATTTATAATAGTTTCAATAGGTTTGCAAAAGATAAGTTTTATACTTAGTTAATTATACTCCTTTATTAATATAATATATAAGTTCAGTACCTAAAAGATTAATATCT